CTCACTCACTCACTCACTTTGATTTCAGTGTTTGTTTAAAAACGAGAGAAAAGTCCGGTCACATGATATGCAAATAAGCCCGTGGTAGTGCTTTTATGGGAAGTGATGTTACTTCTGAAAACGCTGATTAATTAAAACTAGATGTACTTTTTAGGATATTTGTATTTATACATTAATCTTGTGTAGGTGGTTGTAGTTGTTTATTCACAAGCTGTATACATCGATTGTTAAACTGGTGACATGTCATGTCATTGTTTGTGAGAGACATACTTATCTTAAGGGGTAAAATACTGAGTGGTCGTTTTCTGCGTTCGTCAAACCACGAAATTTATGATCTTTCAATTCCGGGTTTTTTCACTAAAATTATATTTCAATAAGCGCCCCCTATTTCTAATTTTGAGAGCGACCTGGGCGCTTATTACATCAAATACAGTAATTGTTATTTCAATAAAATATGTGTGTGTTATTTTAAAAGGAAATAACTCGTGGATAGTTCTCTTTGACATTTTAGTTCAAATGATTATGCATACTGTATATTGCTGTGTATAAGGCGAGTTTTTCATACCTAAAATGAGGGGGTTAACAGGATTATGTTTCCAGGTTTGTCAGCACCATACCCGTGCTCGTGGGTTTCACCAAAGTGGTAAACGTCAGAGACCTGCATCACTTCGGTCCTCCCACATTAAGCTGGCTATCTGTGATATAACTGGAATACTGTTAAAAGCGGTGTTGGACCCCACTCACTTACTCTTTTCAAAGGAAATAACTCATGGATAGTTATCTTTGACATTTTAGTTCAAATAATTATACATAACCATGACAACAGGAGCAATACTTTACCAAATATTTACATAAACACTACCAGTGTGAATAATCTTTCTCAAACATTCACAAAGAGCTATGTACAAAATATGAAATGTTATGTTTGAAAGGGACTTCATTCAGCCATCAAAGTTAAAAAATATAATGGTTGATATGTGAAAATGATGTTGAGGGGTTTGGATCTGTATCGCCCACCTGATGAAGGGGCAAGATTGTTTTGATTTTTGCTAAACGCCACACTCAGCAATATTGCAGCTTAATGGTTGTTTGGTTTGTTGTTTAACGCAGCACTCAGCAATATTCCAGCTATATGACGGCGGTCTGTAAATAATCTAATCTGTACCAGACAATCCAGTCATTGACATCATGAGCATCAATCCACGCAATTGGGATCGATGACATGCATCAACCAAGTCAGCGAGCCTGACCACCCGATCCTGTAGGTCGCCTCTTACGACAAGCATGGGTTGCTGAAGAGCTAGTCTACCCCCGATCTTCATGGGTCTTCTGTGGCCTCGAATGGCCAGCATGGGTTGCTAGGACCAGATCTGACACAGAATCATGGGGTGACCAGCAAGTAGCCGCAAAGAGTTGTGTAATACGAGTGAGTGAGTGAGTTGGGTTTAACGCCGCTTTTAACAGTATTCCAGTTATATCGCGGCATGTCAGCTTAATGTGGGAGGAAAGCCCGAAGTGATGCAGGTCTCAGACGTTTACCACTTCGGTGAAACCTACGAGCACGGGTATGGTGCTGACAAACCTAGAAACATAATCGGGGCGAACCGGGATTCGAACCCACAATCATAGGTTTCTGGAGAGCCCAAGAGACACAACTCTGCACAGCGAATCGCGGCACCTTATACGACTGGGCCAGCCGTGCCCCCTGTGTAATACAAATACAGAGTTAAAATCTACAAATCTTACAATCAACATGTAAACGCCAACACTAGATCACAACTAACATCAAGCAAACTGATCATGTTTGTAAGATTCTATGAATTGCTACATGTATATACCTCATGTACCAATGTTACATTTATGTCTACTGAATTAAAATAAAAATATTTATAAAAAAAGAGAAAAAAGCAATATGACATAAAAACGTGTCAAGGAGTAGCTTGTATTGAAATCTGGTTATAAAAAACATAATTCTGTGTGTGAAAAGATCAAACAATAAATTTCTTACATTATTCACTTCTTACATTATTCACTTCTTACATTATTCAATTCTTACACTATTTAATTCTTACATTATTCAATTCATACATACATCTGAATGAGACACCACTCTTTCGTTTTCACATCCTGAACTTCCACGTAACCATGGAAACATTTACCTTTGACATAAATCTAATTTTAGTATATACTAAAAAAAGTAATTAAAGTGTACTCAATGTTTGAATGACAGATTAACTTTAGTGTTCATTCACTTGTTTTGAGTAGTGCAGGTATACATCTAGGAGACACAAATGCCGGAATTAAAAGTGTGTAACGGAAGAGTCTTCCTTGACTCGAGAACCGATCCACTTCTTTATATTCAGATGCAGAGGAAACAACTACATCCTTCTTGCCATTCAATACAATATATCCTCTTTATCACATCTCTACAGCCAAGTGTAGAATTACTTCCATATAAGAGTTGGACAATCAGTTGACAGCAATTTGATTTACCGTATTCGACGTAATAGGCGCCCAGGGTACTCTCAAAATTAGAAATAGGGGCCTAGAATTAATTTTTGTGAAAAAATAAACAGAGTGGAAAGATCGTAAATTTCGTGGTTTTTTTCTGACAGCCTGAAATGATACAAATGAAAAGTTTTCCAGAATTTAATTGCTCATAATTGAGGGTGCATATAACACATGAGTACATATTATTCACGAATAAATAAGTCTTGTGTACATTGATCAATTGGAAGGGGTGCTAATTGGGATTGTTCACTAGCCAATGTATTAGCAAATATCTCCTTGCACGCTTATAAGAGCGGGGCACTTATTACGTCGAATATGTTTTTTATAATCAAGCAAATATCATAAAATATTGTAAAATATATGAATAGAAAAACAAGAAGATATCAATATGCCACTAAAAACCAATAGCTATGCAATGAGTAAATACAAACACAGTCAGGAATAAAACAATTGGAGCACTATGTACTCTCTGCCATAAAAAACTCTGGTTGACTCTGATTTTAAGGGGCTCCAATTATCCTTACATACAAGATAGCTACGCGATAAATCACAAAGAACAATGAACAACGAAGCATGGTTTATTTCACGATAAAACATTGTTTTATCGGGAGGTCATTTCGGGAGATTCAATCATACGCTCGCAACATGATGACGTCGCATATTAGGTGACGTTAATTTTGAGAGGCGAGTGTCTATTGAGTTGTTTCCCCACTGATAAAGCTGGGCAAGGCAGATGAACATGATGGCCAAACAATTGCATGCAAAAGCAGGAGAGATATGACAATTGGTATAAGGAGAAAAGGTACAAATAATCGATACAAGTAGAGATTCTCGACGAGAATATGCGAGAAAGACCAAATTTACCCCCCTGTTCATAAAATGGACTTGTCCGGCCGAGGTCAGGTATAATTCAGGGAGTTATCATTATTCAAATACAGGTAAATATTTTGAAAGCTTGCACATTTTATTAACATTCTTAAATAGGCTGTACATAATATTGATCTCTCAAATAAGAAATAAAGGACTCATCATCGCTTATCTTACAATCTGAACAAGAGTTTGCCAATAACGTGGCTATATCCCCTGCCCCTGTTGCAGAATTTATGACATAATTAAATCTAAACGAACCGGAAACGAACCCTACCCTCACAGAACCTAAGTCCATCTTGTTGCCATGGAAACGTAAAAAATAAAAATTTCTAAATAGCAAAAGGCACCAGTTCAGCATGTACCTGACATACCTGCAAAGTTTGATGAAAAAATATTGAACGGTTTATGAGTTATGCTCCGGAAACGAAACGTGACGGACGGACGGAGCCCGTTTCTATATCCCCCGCCAACTTTGTTGGGCGGGGGATAATAAAAAATCAAAGCGCATCATATGTTATTTTGCATACCACATTTCTCCTGCATTCACAACATGCAGAAATGACGAAATAATGGACAAAAATTATAATTTCAATCTGTTTATATTCAGATAAGAGTTGAGTGACGCTACAGCTGAGGTCATTCTAGCAAAGTTTCAGCTTCAGGTAAGGTGAGGTGAAATGTGGTTTAACGTCGCGTCCATTATTATTGCTCTTATATAGCGACTCGCATGCGTGTGTGTGTGGCTGCTTGTACTAGTCCGGACTGATGCCGATTTATAGTGCTAGCTCACTGAGATACCATGCCGCAGTTTAACATGAATACCCCACTCAGACACAGTATACTGACTCCGAGCCGACCAGTCCTTGTTTTAGCCCCTTAACGCCGAGCGGCAGACAGGGTAACAACAAGTACCATCTTTTAACGTCTTTTGGTATGACGCGGCCGTGGATCGAACCCTGGACCTTCCACTGTCCAGGCGGACGCTCTACCACTAGACCACGGAGGCAGTCTTCAGCTTCCGGAGCCTTGTAGTTTGAGAGGACACAACGACAAGGCAAAAGCTAACAATGGACATCCGCACAACATACAACATTTCACTGTTGAGCTGAAAATCTTTTGTGGCGGCATCGGTCAACTTCAAACAAACCTTAAGAGCAGTACTGCTTCAAGAGGCCATTTAATAGTCTTGCCAACTCACACTCCGACACAGTAAAGATACTTATCATACCTTCATGTCAGAATGATGAGATCGGATTGGTGATTTTGATAAAATATGATGTATCCTGCCTTGGAGGGGGAATATTATTTCTCATTGGGTGAATAAATCCCTATACCCCACCACTGGCAAGTCAGGCAGCACGTGGGTTTCTGAGAGGCAAAACAAATCCCTTATACCCCGCTCCAAAGCAAAAAGCTGCTTGTTTTTTCCCCCGAGTCATTAGAAGGTTGAAGCTGAGTTACCGTATTCAACGTAATAAACGCCCAGGGAGCTTTCATAATTAGAAATAGGGGGCTCTTATTAGAATATTATTTTGGTGAAAAATAACAGAGTTGAAAGATAAATTTTGTGGTTTATGCTGACAGCCTGAAATGTTTAAATACGAGAGATACAATTTTTGCAGAATTTAATTGCCCATAATTAAGGCTGCATATAACACGCTAGTGTGTATTATATGCGAATAAATGAGTCTTGTGTACATTGATCAATCGGAAGGGGTGCTAATTGGGATTGTTCACTAGCCAATATATTAGCAAAAAATTGCCGTGGGCGCTTATTAGAGCGGGGTGCTTATTACGTCGAATACGGTAATTTCAAAGCATGTTTATCTTTTCAACAGTCCTAAGACAGTCTCAATGTCGTTACCAGGAATCAAGATGAGGATAGGGCAATCCTCTGCAGATGAACCACATAATGATCCAGGTCAAGATCCAGCTTCATGAGGCTTGCACTTTCATGAGTTGTTGAACTTCAAATGAAATTTTACACCGAGAGGATGATAGCCAATGCACGATTCATTTCAGGCCACCCCAAAATAAGGAGAGTCCTTTCTATAAACTGTTTCATAACATATTTGTTCCCTCAATCAAGCTGACGGCTGCCATTTGCCGTGCAGAGTTGTGTCCCTTGGGCACGTCAGAAACCTATGATCGCGGGTTCTAATCCTGCTTCCGCCGTTGCTTGTGGGTTTCACCAAAGTTTACCCTCGAAGACCTGCACTTCAGGTTTATCTCCCACATCAATGTGACAGGCCGTGATAGAAATTAAGGCTGGGACGGGTAACTCGGGTACTCGGGTTGGTTGGGTCCTGAGTAGGACCCGGTACCCACAGGACTACCCGGACCCGTGGTTAGTCACGTGATATATTGTTTAATGACAAAAATTATCTAAAACTCTGGTTACACTATAAGTCACTAATGTTCCCATTTCTTTCTGACAATGCACCCATTCCTTCTGACTTTTATATGTTTGAATAAAGATAAAACTTCATGCATTAAACGTCAGTGTATGCATGATCAGATCGTTTTAAACGTGAATCTAAATATATTTTGCAGGGCTAAGGTCAAACTTTTCCAAATCGGATAGTTTGTACCTATCTCTAAATATCTACAACGGGTACCAGGGTAGGGTCAGGTAATAGGGTGGTGGGTACCTGGGTAGTCCCAGCCCTAATAGAAATGGAATAATGTTCCAAGCAGCCTTAACCCCAACTCACTAGGGCTGGGACGAGTCCAAATTTACTACCCGGGTACCCACACCCCTATTACCCGACCCTACCCAGGTACCCGCTGTTGGTGTCAAGAGATAGGTACAAAATGTAATAGTTTGACAGTAGCTCTGGCAGAATGTTTTTAGATAGACGTATAAAACGATGTGGTCACACTGAAGTTGACTTAAGGTTTAGCTTTGTTCAAACATATTTAAGTCAGAAGGAATGTGTTCATAGTCATGAAGAAATGCGAACATTAGAGACTTAAAATTATCGTGTAACGATGTAGTTTTATAGTGATTTTTTGTCATGAAACAATACATCACGTCACTAACCACGGGCCTGGGTAGTCTTGTGGGTACCCGGGTCCTCTCAGTACCCACCCGACCCGGGTACCCGAGTTGCCCGTCCCTGCCCTACAACTCACTCACTCACTCGAGTTGAGTAGAGGTTCTGTTGAAGATTCCGAAGCGTTGTCAACCGACTCCGGCAGATGAGACTGTATGGCACAGATAAAATTCTTCTTCACTCTTGCATTCCTATCAATGTCTGAAGGCCATTTAATATGATGGACAAGTCCCAGTCGAGATCGTAATCCAGCTTCAAGTCCTTGCAACGAATCTCTTAAGGGGCCATTGTGAATGAGGATGATTCGTGTCCCTCCCTGGCAATTTGTAGCTGCATCCATTAAAGATTCCAACCGAGGAACCCGACTATCTGAGGGTCTGAGATAGATTAGCGCGAAGGAACTGCTGGTTAGGGCATCCATCGCAGCGGAAGCTTCCACTGGAATGAAACATGTTAAAAGATAACTTCTTTGAGTGGCATTTAGAAGTTGGAATGGTAACTAAGACAAAATTGTTATGGATGAGCAACTTCTTTATTACAATTGGGCGACGTTTCGGTGTAGATTCTAACACAGTGATCGGTTATAACGGTGTTAGAATCTACACCGAAACGTCACCCAGTTGTAATTAAGAAGTTGCTCATCCATAACAATTTTGTCTTAGTTATGTTAAAAGATGTTACAGTGGATAATATTGAAAGTCCAGTAAAACTAAATTTGATCGTGAAAATCAATATCTACATGTTATAAACATGTTTTTCTGCATTTCAAAGCATTTCAGGTGAGTACTGTTTGTGGATACTGATTGATCTTCATCCGAAACGCCCTGAAGATTCTGATCACTTGGTTACGATTTTGGAGAATGTCTGATAAAATCATTAAAATGTCCTCATGGCATTTGTCGGTGAATCAGTACCTCAAGTAAACTGCATGTTTCAATTCCATATTGTTATACTTCTATTAAGAATCTTGCAATTCCATAGGTTAATCAGTACAACATGACGAAAAATACATTCGATATAGACCCCGAAATCATGTGACTGACCCTGTCCTCAAATATTGACTGATCACATGCAAGGCCGTGCTTAACTTTTTTTGACAGGGGGGGGGGGGGGGGGGGCAAATATTTTTACAAGTATCACTTGTCCCCAACTTGTATTTTCATGATTCAAATAAAACTGTTTTAGTACAGGGGGGTCCGATCCCGGTTCGCCCCGATTATGTTTCTAGGTTTGTCAGCACCATACCCGTGCTCGTGGGTTTCACCGAAGTGGTAAACGTCTAAGACCTGCTTCACTTGGGGCTTCCTCCCACATTAAGCTGACACGCCGTGATATAACTGGAATACTGTTAAAAGAGGCGTTAAACCCAACTCACTCACTCACTCATTCACTCATAAGATCAATTGATCTTCCCATTCCAGTGACCTTAACAGGCACAAACGTTTGTTATGTTGAGATCTACTACATGCTACTGTGACAAGGGATTAACTTTAATAACCATGGCAACCTCATTAAAATCGGATCTTAGTTCACTCTATGGCTAAACAAAGATCTGAGGACATCCCATTACGGGTCACGTCAGAACGACCTTTCATCCAACCAATCAGAGCATCGCTTACAAGATCGTGAAAGTGACAGTCGGAATGTGTTTTCTGATCATGCAACCTCGAAAATGTTAACACGGGGTATTCCGAACGACTGATTCCGTCAAAATTATTGTCTATCTCTCGCTTCCGTGAGATAAACATTTGAGCGGAGGAGGCGTTGCACAGTACGTGGAAACCACTTCCAAACAATCGCAACCATATATTAGACACTTCGGAATGTTCGTTTGTTCATATTTCAAAATTTTAATCGAGAACTGTGTCAACATATTTTTAAAGCGTAGTCTGAAATGGAAGTCCCCAGGTTGAAACAAGTGCTGTAAAGCTTGAGAAAGCTGCTTTCTAATTGGCTGATGTCAACTTCTTGTTCTTGTTAGTCATTTAGTCACTATATGGCTCAGATACTGCCGATGTGACGTAAAACTTTTACTCACTGACTGTTAGTCATTTCAGTGGTCGGTCAAAGTTCGCGAAAGGTCATTCTGACGTGACCTGTAATGGGATGTCCTCAGATCTTTGTTTAGCCGCACATGAACTAAGAGCTGAGATTGATAACCATGGTAACAGTAAAAATGGTGAAACAATGGCTGAAAAGAATTATTAGGGTCACGACAAATAGGAAGACATCCTGAAATTGTGAAATACTTACATTCTGCTCCTTGGATGTCATCATAGGGAAAGAAGACAGCGTAATCATTTCTCAAGTTACTCGTTATATGATTCCTCACTTCGTCATCGTTGTCTGGGTGGCACAAGACGATCAGATCGTGTCGCTTGTTGGCTGAAAGGTAAACTTAAAAGTCAGGGCCTCGTTCCTCAAAGCTATCTTAGCGCTCAGGTGATCGTAAGTCCCATACTTTAACATAGGCTTATGATCATCATAGTGCTAAGATCGCTTTGTGGAACAAGGTCCAGGCCTAGTTGTTTGTTGTTTAATGCCTCACTCAGCAATATTCCAGCTCCATAATGGCTCTGAATACACAATGCCATTTACAAAGTGTTCAAATGTAACAAATGTTATATTTGGGATAACACTTTCTTTGTAAAGTACAGATTCTCGTACTTTTTGGGTTGAGTCCTGTCAGGGAGCCTCGTCAAGATGACACGCAATCAACCAAGTCACTGAGCTTGACCATGTGATTTAATATTTTTTGTTTTGTTTGTTGTTTAACGCCGCACTCAGCAATATTCCAGCTATATGACGGCGGTCTGTAAAATAATCGAGTCTGGACCAGACAATCCAGTGATTGACATCATGAGCATCCAAGTCAGCGAGCCTGACCACCTGATCCCATAAGTCACCTGTTATGACAAGCATAGTCGCCTTTTACGACATGTATGGGTTGCTGAAGACCTATTCTACCACGGAATCTTCACGGGTTATGTGTTTTAATAAGTCAGCTCTTACATACAGCATGGTTGCTAGGGACCTACTCTAACATGGGTTAAAGTCAGGAATGTTGAGGGGTGAGGACGAAGGTTGCCAAAACGACCACAGGCATGGTGCTGAGAAATCAAGGATCATAACGGCAGGTCTGGGACGGGTCCAAATCTACCCTGCTAACAGACCCTCCCTTGGAGACAAACAGGATCGGGTGGTCAGACTCGCTGACGAATAGGTCTTCAGCAACCCATGCTTGCTGTGAAAGGCGACTATGCTTGTCGTAAGAGGCGACAAACCGGATCGGGTGGTCAGACTCGTTGACGTGGTTGAAGCATGTCATCAATCCCAATTGCGGGGATCGATGCTCATGATATCAATCACTGGATTGTCTGGTCCAGACTCGATTATTTACAGACCGCCGTCATATAGCTGGAATATTGCTGAGTGCGGCGTAAAACAACAAACAACAAACCAATCGAATCCTATTGTGACATAAGGTCGGAATGACTTCACACTAGAAATGATGTCATACCTGAAGACTTTTGACGTCATTTGACTAATCATGGTTTATGATGTAACTCCAATGTGCACTGACTGGACAGGAGGAAAGGATTATTATTCTGCACAAAAAACACCAGTATTAATCAAAGTTTCCACTGAAGCACATGTAGCACATGTGGTGTCACCTTTGGCACGTCACTTTGCTTGTAATATGCCTCTGTTTACACCGCAGCATGGGGCACGGGTGGCCCAGTCGTCTAAGGCGCTGCGATTCGCTGTGCAGAGTTGCGTCCCTTGGGCACGCCAGAAACCTATGATTATGGGTTCGAATCCCGGTTCGCCCTGATTATGTTTCTAGGTTTGTCAGCACCATACCCGTGCTCATGGGTTTCACCGAAGTGGTAAACGTCTGAGACCTGCATCACTTCGGGCTTTCCTCCCACATTAAGCTGACGTGCCGTGATATAACTGGAATACTGTTAAAAGCAGCGTTAAACCCGACTCACTCACTCACTACACCACAGCAAATGGGTACCCAGTAGGATAAGATGATATTGTGACCTTCTTGAACCTCACAGGCAGAGCTTGGGTAGTATACTCCCCAGGGAGCTGAGAATGAATATCGATTGCACACTGATCCATTGACCTCAGTGATTATGACAGGGCTACAGAAAATATAACATAAAATGTCATGATTTACAGCTACGTTACTGTAGTGACACGGGATGGATTAAAGGATTCGTAAACTACAAAGTGAATTTCGGGATAACAATAATTGCGACAAGGTCAATATGTTAAAACAAGGACCCTCATACATTTTAGAATCAAATGCCAAATGGTCTTTGTCGCCAATACAAATTGTCTAGAAGTAATGAAGCAAAATAAATGAGGTGTGAAAACGAACGCTGAAAAAAGTGCACTTGTTGGAAATGTAAACAAAGCCATTCGTCTATTCGTTGAGTACATTGGCTCGAGATCTGCATTTTCAGAATATACACGGAAAGAGAATCGTAGGAAGAATTAGGGAATTAAACCTATATACATTGCAATAATTTGATATTTTCAACAGAACTTGTCGAAGTTCCCGTCCTGTGTGACGCCATGACTGACGCAAAATAACGCACAACGACAACGGTATTTATCAGAATTTCTGACTATTTTCGTTGGTTTCAATGAAAAATACAACAACAAAAAACAGTACACAGATTGTCAGAATGTTTCTGTTTACTTACATGTCACATTTATGTATATATGAACCCTGAATCAACGAAAGTCCCCTCGTAAAATCCCGCGCACTGTTGACAGTCAACACGCCATTTTGTAAAATTCGGTCACCGGTAGTGATGTCAAACTTCAACATATTTGTTGTACATATTTGGTAATTTCTCTGAGGTGAAGGTCCTTGAATGAAAGTACACACGATCATTGTTAACTGCTTTTTACTGTTTCATGATTTAGATCTTGCATATCTTTTGTACATTTTTTTCACACAATTAATTTCACTTTGGATATTAATCAATGTTCAATATGATATCATACCTAGATATAGGCCACAACGTATATGAACGTTTGATAATCTCCTGTTTGTTTGAAGAATGTTCACATATGAAGTTGATAAGTTTATAGTGTTGTATACGATATTTCTTTAATTTGAACAAGTGTACATGTGACAGGTACATTTACATTTCATCTTGTATGTATTTCTAGGGAGTGTAATAGTCAATATTATAAGTTCATATAAATAGTGTCCGTGAATAGCCGTTTCATTTTATTTTATAACTAAAACTGACGATATAACTTAACCATAATCGATATTATTTTTCGTTAAATTATATGCACACATTTCTTGAAGAATTGGCTTGGTCTTGGATTTTTTTTATGCCATTTGATATACAGAACAGTGATATCTCAGGATTCGCCAGGAGCGCGTTAGTCACTATGGTGATTGTGATTTTGGTAATTATTTCATTGTAATTTTTTTTAATTAAAAATTTAAAATCCCAATAATTCCCATGAATAGAGATAATAAAAATATTTGTTATCAATTTTGTATTTCAATTTGCGTCCATTGTTAATTAGTATGCAAAAAATGCTGAGTAATTATATATTCCTACACAGTGATTCGGTCGCTTGCTTCAGGGAATTCAAATAATATTTTCACCCTCTGACATTTGGTCATGTGACCCAAATCAGCCAATCACAACACAGAACACACTTTCTATAGGTTTACAATGTTGATTTATCAACCAAACTGGCTCCCACAGGAGATATTGCTTGGATTAGATCAAGCAATATCTACACTGTAGATATCTCTGCAATGAAATTACATCACAATGCTTTGCAGACCATTGTGACGTCACTGGTTACCATGACATCACAATCAAATGACATCACTAATGGCTCTGCTACTGAAGCTGTTAGCAGTACTCTTTACACTGAAGACACTGCTAATTGTAAACCTACAGGAAGTGTGTTCTGTGTTGTGATTGGCTAAATTGGGTCACATTACCAAATGTCAAAGGGTGAAAATATGATTTGCATTCCCTGAAGCAAGCAATAGGTTTACAATATCGATAAATACTATGTGTGTGTCTATTTCCGGGATTTTATTGAGTATTTGCATCTTGGAAATTTTCATTCGGGTCCCTCAGGCTAACGCTTTCAGGTTTCCAGATGAATTTCCAAGATGCAAATACTCGATAAAATCCCGGAAATAGACACACACATAGTATTTATCTTCTAATTACTGTCTACAAATAGAAAAAGTTGGAAGAATGATGTTTGATGATAAATAAAATCTCACCCTCGTGTCTTTGATATCAAATACATCAACAACTCGTGTTGATATATTTTATATCAAAAGAAACTCAGGTGAGATTCTCTATATCTCATATTAGATATAAATGACTGGACTCTCTGCACCCCTCATTGTTTATTCTCCCTGCAGTGTTTTATTGTCTGATACACAGTTATTTCTTCTTATTTACCTTGTCTTAGTGGTAGACGGTGAAACTTGGTTCTCATCCAGAACTGGACCTGGTCTTTCCAAGGCAGGATGAGAAGTGTGACGAGAAGAGGCACGATGATGACGACAGCCAGAACAGCCAGAACAGCCACCCCCCACCCGGGGAGAACTTCCTTTTGTGCTGAAACAACATTGCTGGCGTGTAGCTACAGTGGCTGACCTTGGCCTGCTTAGATGCTGATAATTTGCTTCAAGTCTGAAGCAAACACATTATCTTGTTATAGAATCTTGCCATTCCATTGGTTAATCCGTACCACAGAGTGAGTGAGTGAGTGAGTGAGTGAGTGAGTGAGTGCGTGCGTGCGTGCGTGCGTGCGTGCGTGCGTGCGTGCGTGCGTGAGTGAGTGAGTGAGTGAGTATGGTTTTACGCCGCTTTTAGCAATATTCGAGCAATATCACGGCGGGGACACCAGAAATGGGCTTCACACAATGTACCCATGTTGGGAATTGAACCCTGGTCTTCGGTTTGACAAGCAAACGCTTTAACCCCTAGGCTACCCGACCGCCCCTCCACAGGATGAATCAGTACATTTCAATGTAGACCTCCAAATCATGTAACCGACACTGACCTCAAAGATAGACTCATAACATGATCAGTATTGACCTGTCACTTGATGAATAATGACATGTCTGGTTTGTTTGTTTGTTCGTTTGTTGTATAACGCCACATTCAGCAATATTCTAGCTATATGACATCCCAGACAATCCAGTGATTGATATCATGAGCATCAATCTACGCAACTGGGAGACGATGACATGCATCAACCAAGTCAGCGAGTCTGACCACCCGATCCCATTAGTGGCCTCTTACAACAAGCACAGTCGCCTTTTACAGCAGGCATGGGATGCTGAAGACCTATTCTACCCTGGATCTTCACGGGTCGGTGGCAGAGAGTAGGTGGATGGGTGACGGTGTTCAGCAAAGTTGACTCCTCAGAGGTCGAAGGGCTTCAGTCCTGCCCCACACTGAAACTCACGTTACATTTGGTGTCCCCTTACGCAAGTGACTTTGTTAGATAGGCACCTCTGTATAACCAGCATGGAATGGGAAGTAACATTTCATGGTTTGCAGGGGGCACAGGTGGCCCAGTCGTCTAAGGCGCTGCATTTCGCTGTGCAGAGTTGCGTCCCTTGGGCACGCCAGAATCCTATAATTGTGTGTTCGAATCCCGGTTCGCCCCGATTATGTTTCTAGGTTTGTCAGCTCCGTACCCGTGCTCATGGGTTTCACCGAAGTCTTAAACGTCTTAGACCTGCATCACGTCGGGCTTTCCTACCACATTGCTGACGCGCTGTGATATGACTGGAATACTGTTAAAAGCGCCATTAAACCCAACTCACTAACTCACTCATTCCTGCAGCGAAACAGAGGAAGGTTTAATGGCTTCATAAACTTTAAACTCAGTTTCAGTAAAACAAATCAAATGGTTACATCTGACGAGGTAAATCTGGGAAAACACAACCCTCGGACCCCACCCTTTTGGGACTCAGACCAATTTAGGTGTCGGGTCTTTGGGTCCTTGTTTTCGCATACTGACCTCGTCAAGAATCGGCATCACTGAGCAGTGCACAATAAAAGAGGAATATATCTTACGTAAATCGACAAATTGTACGGGAAAGGACTTTCCATTAGGCGTCACTGCGAAAAGATAACACATATAACTGGAGGTCATGTTGTCCTGGGTGATGGTCTTGAAGGTCAGTATACTGCCAAGTATATTCCCGTTGCTGAAACGACAGAGATTTTATAAAATGCATTTGATCAACTATAATCTAAAAATTATATTTTGTTTGATTTTGTAATATTATTTATGACAAAAAGAGGGTCAGGAAAACATGAAAAAAATGAAAAACATTTTAGTTTATAATTGCGACTTTTGATCTGGGACCCATTATAAATGAGATTTACAATCTCTTGACATGTTTTGCCTTAGTAAACATAACCATCTAATTTCTATCATTAAACATTCAACATTAAAATAAACCAGAAACCAGGTCTGGACCCAGAGTGAGTGAGTGAGTTGGGTTTAACGCCGCTTTTAACAGTATTCCAGTTATATCATGGTGTGACAGCTTAATGTGGGAGGAAAGCATGTGATGCATGTCTCAGATGCTTACCACTTCGGTGAAACCCATGAGCACGGGTATGGTGCTGACAAACCTAGAAACATAATCGGGGCGAACCGGGATTTCAAACCCACAATCGTAGGATTCTGGCGTGCCCAAGGGAGTTGAAAAGCACGGAGCAAAGGCCATAACTCTTTAAAAATGAATTTAAGACACAAATGTTCAAACTCAGTTAAGATCATGATCAGTAATATCAGTGTGTAGAATTTCATTTCTCTGACTCTCTGACTTAATTAGTTTGTGAGAAACTTTGTCGCTTTAGAAAGCGAACAGATGGACGGACGGACGAACACTGTTCCTATACCCCACTTCATGTCTGGGGATAATCGATTATCAATGGCGTCTCGATTACCCAATGAAACAGATTTCACTGGGCACAAAAGGCAAGATAGCTGAAAATCTTCAAAATTCCAGATTAGAACAGCTCCCTAGCAAAAGATGCTGGTTGTACAGTGGGGATTCCAGATTAGAACAGCTCCCTAGCAACCTATGCTGGTCGTACCGTGGGGAATCAGGGTTAGAACAGCTCCCTAGCAACCTATGCTGGTCGTACCGTAGGGATTCCGGGTTAGAACAGCTCCCTAGCAACCTATGCTGGTCGTGCCGTGGAGATTCCAGATTAGAACAGCTCCCTAGCAACCTATGCTGGTCGTACCGTGGAGACTCCAGATTAGAACAGCTCCCTAGCAACCTATGTTGGTTTCACTGTGGGGATTCCAGATTAGAACAGCTCCCTAGCAACCTATGCTGGTCGTACCGTGGAGACTCCAGATTAGAACAGCTCCCTAGCAACCTATGCTGGTCTGAAGTGACCTGAAATCCTACCTCTTATTCACCATCTCCACAGAAAATAACGGATGATCTCCTTCAAGCTTAAAGGGGGGTTTTCCTGTCCTCATCCAGAAAGCACTTTTAGTGTTTGGCAAGCCACAGCCAAAGTATCCTCGGCACTCCAGGGTCTTCGTTTGGCCGAGTCTGACCATCTGCTTTGGCTCCGGCATACGCTCCACTATCACCTTGCCGGCTGCTTTGTCACATTCTGACATTAAGACATAAAGAGTGAGTGAGTGAGTTGAGTTGGGTTTAACGCCGCTTTTAACAGTATTCCGGTTATATCGCGGCGTGTCAGCTTAATGTGGGAGGAAAGCCCGAAGTGATGCAGGTCTCAGACGTTTACCACTTCGGTGAAACCCACGAGCATGGGTATGGTGCTGACAAACCTAGAAACATATTCGGGGCGAACAGGGATTCGAACCCACAATCATAGGTTTCTGGCATGCCCAAGGGACGCAACTCTGCACAGCGAATCGCGGTGCCTTAGACGACTGGGCCACCCATGCCCCTTAGACATAAAGACATTAAGAATATCAACATGCATGATTATATATCATTAACTGTAAGAGCAAAAGGATCTTATTGGCTAATCAATGTCTGGTAAAATAGACATTAAAATTTGACTAAACAGCTAACAGGGCATTATGACATCATTGTTTGATGTGACAGTACGACCCAAAGTCCTCTGAAGTTCGCTGGGTCAAAAGCGATTTTGAAACCTCATTCAGGAAAGGTGGGCGGTATGACCAGTATATCATGATATGAAATACGATTGAATACATACCTGTTTTGAAAATACTGGATCTTTTCCGTTTTTTACAATCATGGATATTTTCATCTTGTTAGCAAAAGTTACATAAATGATGTTATTATGATATTCAGAAATTTGCAACTGCTTCCTGTGATGGAAGAAGCGAAACCATTATCAAACAACTTACTATTATAATGCATCTATTATGCATGCTTTGTAACCATGGCATCATCTTACAAAATGGCATCTTCCCTTTAAAGCAAACGCAAGTGATACGAGAGGTGGAATCTGATTGGTCCATAGGAGAAGCTTAGAAGGGACATAACTGTTAATAGCCACTCGTGGCGCTACGATCGAGCCCAGTAATTCCAGCCAAGTTTGGCAAGGGTGGAAACTGGACTTTTAAATTCAGTTATGTCTCTTACCTTTGGAAGATGGGTAATTCTGGAATACAATAGGGAATAGGTCCCCAGCAACTGAAGGGATCGGTGGTTAGACTTGGTGATGGTCAATTGCATGGTACTGCACCGCGATGGAGTGGATTGTTGCTCATGACATTGAGCAGTGTTTGTTGGTCCAGACTTAGTTATTTCAGACAGCATTCGTGCCCAACTCGTGTTATTCCGGGACAAGCCGAATAGCGACTCGTGCCCCTCTCATGGCCATTTCTGCGACCGGGTTTCGTCTTAGCGCAAACGGGCATACCCAAAACAATTGTCAACTCGTTGCGTAATGGTTCACATATTATTTCCCCATGTAGTTTATATGTTTCAGATGCAATTTAAAGCACATTGGGACGTGCGGAATTATACAGTATGATTGAACCCATTTAACTGTGTCTTGGGTATATTTTAGATGAAAGACATATGTAAAATCAAAAATTATTTCTGAGGGATTCTTTGACGAAGAACTTAAAATCATACGTGCATTCTGATTAGTTTGTCGTATTTTCGCACATAACATTCATCGACAGGGGGACGAGTCTTCTTGCAGGTAACGAGTGGTGACGAATTTTCACAGAGATCATATGGCTGACATTTTGCTTAGTTCGCGAAGAACGAACAAACATACAAGATCGGGATTGGGTTTTTAGTAACGTTTACCATGGTTACAAAGACAGATACAGGCTGAGATGGATCACCATATAATTGCAGGTTTTTACGTGATGCGGAAATGTGCATCCAGTACACACAAATGTGTATGGAAAATGGACACAGAATTTTTTTTTATAGCGTCCTAAACATGCTAAAAGACGCAATATAATCATAATAATATTCATTGTATAAATTCAAGGAAAATAAAGTTCCTGAAATTCAGGTTATTATTAAATCTTACAGTACACTACACCATTTCATTACTTAACATATATTTCCTGTAAGCACTCTTGAATCAGTAACAGTGGGTCCTCATTCTAACATGATAACTTGAGTAGTAGTAAGTAAATATTCTCTGATGGCCCCAAACTCTGCGTGTACGGATTGGTCCACCTCCAGAATATTGGATACCTATCCGCTATGTTTGTTTCAAGCTAATCCCACAGCTGCATTCTAAACTAGGGCGATGAAGCTCAAAATAAGCATATAAAATTACTCTGCTTGCGTAAACAAGGATTATATCCAACCTAAATATTATCCCAGAGGAAGTTTTACTCTAGAGTATAGCGTAGGGTAGGATTAAACACACTGATATGGGTTCAAATTCACTCGGGAGAATCATCCTGACACAAGAGAATTTCATGAATGTATGAATGAATAAATATTTATTTTTACTTTTATTTCAACCGACCTTTTCTCGAAAAGCAGGAATAAAACTGAAACATCGAACATAGGTCTTCAGCAACCCATACTTGCCGTTAAAGGCGACTATGCTTGTCGTAAGAGGCGACTAACGGGATCGGGCGGTCAGGCTCGCTGACTTGGTTGATACATGTCATCAATCCGAATTGCGTGGATCGATGCTCATGATGTCAATCACTGGATTGTCTCGTCCAGACTCGATTATTTTACAGACCGCTGTCATATAGCTGGAATATTGCTGAGTGCGACGTTAAACAAAAAAACACCAAAAAAACTGTGAAACATAAAACTTAACGTGTGGCCTAACAAAGATGGGGAAACTAAAAATGACATCAAATTATGATAGCAACGATTCCATTTCAGATTTTTACTTACCAGCAACATAGAGTTCAAACTGAAAGGTGACATTGCGTGTTGTGTTGTGGGCCACACAAACATAGGTTCCGTTGTCCAGCATTAAAGCCTTGTTGATCTCCAAAACTTGCTGACGTTCTTTGAAAGTATACCTCTTGTTATCAAACACCAATACAGTCATGGTTCCATTGTATTGTCGGAACCATTTAATATCTCCCATGAAGTTGTTAGCACAGCAATGGATGTTCACAAAATGATCCTTGCGTACATCGTCTGCCTCGGAATTCTCCCTCGAGAAGGACAGCTCGTCTGAAAGTTGGAACAAGAACTAGACTTATCCAGTTACTTGACCCACAGTAAGTTTCACTTCAGCCAAACTAAAATTCACTTTAATGATTTTAACCTCCTTAGTGAGTGAGTGAGTATGGTTTTACGCCGCTTTTAGCAATATTCCAGCAATATCACGGCGGGGGACACCAGAAATGGGCTTCACACATTGTACCCATGTCGGGAATCGAACCCGGGTCTTCGGCGTGACGAGCGAACTAACCTCCTTAGTGACACAGCAAGAGGATGGCGCCATCCTCATCACCCTGCCTTTCTTGCCGCAATTCACACCAATCAAATAATTTGATATTTCAGAACAGAAACAACTCATTAAGTCGAATTCCTGTGAAACCATAGAATATGTTGTGTTGTGTGTACTTGAAGATAAACAAGAAACCATATCATAAAGATTTAAGTTACACCATGATCAAACTAGTCCACAACCCATGTTCAGACAATGAGTTTCAGTTTATGAAAAAAAGTGTTCCAGATTAAGGGGATTGTGGGGCAGTTGAGGTATACTCCTTCGGGTTTTTTAATCTAGGGACCTATTAACATAAGGGTTATGAAAAGGACCCCTTGACATTTATGTTTAACTTCAAACACTGTAAAATACAGAAAACTATGGTTTAAACTAACTCAAAGGGAACATTTATATTCATTCATTATAACTGTAGTTTGTTGAAAGCCTATATACAACATATTAGGGGTGTCACGATAAATTGAACTATCGATATATTGCTCATAATAATTGGTAAGCACTTAAAGTCAATAAATCGATTGTTAAATCAGTTTCCCATCAATAGCATCGATTTCATCAGGAATATCGATAGTTTCGATTGTATTTACCATATCAATAAAATACATGCAATGCTGTACAAATTTGTTTTTCTTTTGATCATGAGTGGTAGTAATTTACACATGGTAATGTGGAAGTTACTTTTTCTTAAATTATTAGGGTAAAGAACAAAAAAATCAGTCATATCTCAAACTTTACTTTTTATTTGTTGTTATGGTTATCACATTCAAAGGAAACTTCAGTTCCAAGGTTTAATCCAACTCTAAAATTCATCTAAAATGATACACTGAAAACTATCGATATTTATCACAATGGTTGCTTGCAATATCAATAGTTATCGCAATAGTTTCTTTCAATATCAATAGTTATCGCAATAGTGAATTCTAGGCCAATAGTCACCCCTACAATTCACAGTGCAGAGTTGCATCCCTCGGAACATCCCATTAGGGGTCATGTCAGAACGACCTTTCATCCAACCAATCAGAGCGTCACTTACAAGATCATGAAAGTGACAGTCGGAATGTGATTTCTAATCATGCAACGTCGAAAACTTTAACACGGGGTATTCCGGACGATAGTTACAGGCTAAACGACTGAATCCACACAATCTAGACCATCTATTAGCCATTCCAGAATGTTCTTTTGTTCAGGTTTCAAATTCTTAATTGAGTATTTGTCAAAATATGTTTTGAAGCGTAGTCGCCAATTTGAAATTAGTGCCGTAAAGCACGAGTAAGCTGCCTTCTGATTGGCTAATGTCGACTTCATGTCAGTCATTCCATTGGTCGGTCAAAGTTCGCGCAAGGTCGGTATGACGTGACCCGTAATGGGATGTTCTCAGATCTTTGTTTAGCATCAGCGGGAACTAAGATCTGATTTTAATGAGATTGGTTTTACACAGATACATCCAACTGCTACTGTTGAATTTTGAAATCTATGTTTATTTATTATCTTTGTTATTTCAGTCATCCATTGATGACTTTAATAGAAAATAAAAAATAGAAAGTAAATAGCCTCCTCCCACTATTGACAAAAAGGCAGATGATAATCAAGCAATTACCGTATTCGACGTAATAAGCGCCCCGCTCTAAGCACCCACGGCGACATTTGCTAAGATATTGGCTTGCGAACAATCCCAATTAGCACCCCTTCCGATTGATCAATGTACACAATACTTATTTATTCGCGTATAATATGCACTCGTGTGTTATATGCACCCTTATATGCATTTAATTCTGGAAAAATATATCTGTCGTATATAAACATTTCAGGCTGTCAGCATAAACCACGAAATTTATCTTTCGACTCATCTTTTTTCCACCAAAATGACATTCTAATAAGAGCCCCCTATTTCTAATTTTAAGAGCGCCCTGGGCGCTTATTACGTCGAATACGGTAATGTGTTATGGCCTCAACATGACACTTCTCACACAGAGACTTGATTGTATACATCTGCAGCAATAACAAAGTGGTACCTGAATCCTTGACACAGATGCAGGTGACAGGGTCGACCATCAACAACGCCCAGATGAGCAGCCACTGTAGCAGACCTTCCATCACCACCTGGCAACCAAGAAACAGTCATTAAAGCACTGAGGTGAGGTGAGGTGAGGTGAGGTGAGGTGAGGTGAGGTGGGGTGAGGTGGGGTGAGGTGGGGTAAAAGTGGGTTTAACGTCGCGACCAAGATTATTGCACTTATATAGTGACGTGCATGCACGTGTATGTGTGTGTGTGGCTGCTTGTACTAGCCCGAACTGATGCCAATTTATAGTGCTAGCACACTGAGATACCATGCCGCAGTTTAACATGAATACCCCGCTCAGACACAGTATACTGACTCCAAGTCAACCAGTCCTTGTTTTAGCCCCTTAATGCCGAGCGCCAGACAGGGTGACAACAGGTACCATCTCTTAACATCTTTTGGTATGACGCGGCCGGGGATCGAACCCCGTACCTTTCGCTCTCCTCCAGTGAAAGACATTTCATCAGGTGGGGTAGAGGTGTGCGATGATATCAGTATTCTTTAATATGAAATACTAATGACTACGGATCACAATACATTTGTAAAAATACCGGTATATTGCGTTTTTCAAAATATATTCATCTTGTTTACACACGTGACAATTCAAATTCAAATTCTGAAATTCTGAAATTAGCAACTGTTTCCTGTGATGGAAAACGTTAAAGCTTTGTTACCATAGCAACATCCAACAAAATAATAAGTTGACAAAAATGTGCCGTGGGAGTTCTTTTTATTCAGGTTTATAACAAATTACAGATGAGAGAAAGCATACAATATATTGTGGTGTGTATTGCTATACAAGAATCATTATTGAAATATAGCTACACATCGTATCCCTTCAGCGAATTCAGGTGAATAAACAGGTATAACAAACTTCAATAAAATTATGAAATGTGATATAAAACATCACTAGACATGATGATTTACCATTCAGGGTGCATTTCCTGCTCTCCAAGGCATTGTTTTATATGCAGAGATTAAGATTACCATGTGTATTTTCTCGTAAACTAAGTTGGATATAGCAATCAGCTGTGCACGTTTCCTCCCAATCTACCGATGATTCAGTTAAAACGTACCCAATGATACAACTTCAAAGAATTTTGATGTAATGGTTGGAAGAAATTGTATCTGAAATTATTATTTTATCAGGAATAATATATTCCAATATGGTGTTATTTTAGTTGCAGCTTCCAATATATACTTAAAATGATAAGAACCATAAGCATAGCACTTTGGTACGTATGGAACAATTTGGACCAGTCACCGTAGGGACTATCACTAAAGTGGAGCAAAGATATCTGAAAACTTTTCGGGCAGAAAGTACTAGGGCTGAAACTACATCCCGAAACACCGATGCATTGCGATTCACTCCACACGATACGGTGCGCGATTTGTGAGGTGCTGTATCAAATTTTCATGATACCTTTTTCTTAATAAACTTTTATCACTAATACGTTTTAAATGTGTTTTAAATTAATTTTAAATTCGAACCAAGTCATAAAAAGTAGGGAAAATATAATTTCGCTACACATGCGTACGTCTTCAAAAATACAGCGGCTATGCTAGCATTGTATATCAGTAGCAGTTCAAGCTTTCTGATTGGCTGTGCGGTCTCTAACTCAAACATGTCGGAAAAAGCAGATGATCGTCCTTTGCTGGAAAAACCATCAGAGACTCACAAATCAGTAGTTTGGGAACATTTCGGGTTCCTAGTAACATTTGAAGATGGAATCAAACACATGTGCAAAGATCAAACGTGCTGTCGCATGTGTCAAACAAGGTTGAAATACACGGGCAGCACGACAAACATGACAACACACATACGCCGCCATCACCCATTTATAGACATTACTATCTAGTCACAACTCTCAAATATGTAGGACCGTTACTTTCATGGAAATGGCAGATGAATCATTAATTTTAAATACTCATTACAGTATATAGTTTATGACTCATGAGCATTCATTCACTTTCATTTTAATAAACTGAGTTTAATTCATTTATCTCTTGTCTTCTCTTGTCACTATGAGTATCGGAGCGTATCGAGATACGTATCGAATCGTGAAGTAAGTATCGAGATGCGTGTCGTATCGTGATCTAGGTGTATCGTTGCAGCCCTAGAAAGTATAGCGAAAACTGCAAGTGGTACACACTCATTATAGTTTCATGAAGCAGATATGCAAAGCTATAGAAGCTACGTATTTCCGTAAAATACCCCCCCCCCAAAAAAAAAATATTCAATCCCCAATTACTTTCATTACATACAGAAACGCATGCATTCAATGAAAAACTCAAATGTATAAAAACAGCATGCATAAATATGGTTTATTATACCCAATGAAGCTTTTTCAGCATGTGTACAACGGAACTAATTTCTGAAACACAATTAGAGTTAATTTAATTTCCGAGTCAAGCCTATATTTTGAACCATTATATATATCTGAAACATTATTTAATTTTTTTTTAATCTCAAAATGTTTACTCATTTTGGGAAAAACCCTATTTAGTGATGAATCGATGAGTGAAAAAATAATGAAAACTGTATCAACCCAATTAAGACAGAAATCCTTCGAGTAAAAACTCAATTGCTCAAAAAGTTATCTGGAACTCCAAGATATGGCTCATCCATCGAAAATCTTTCCCTCAATGAGGGAGTCTTTCTCATAAGAGCTCCCTAGTAGGGCTGGTATGGGTAACTCGGGTACCCGGGTCAGGTGGGTACTGAGTAGGACCCGGGTACCCACAGGACTACCCGGACCTGTGGTTGGTCACGTGACATGTTGTTTAAATTATCTAGAATTCTATGGTTACACTACAAGTCACAAATGTTCGCATTTCTTTCTAACTATGCACCCATTCCTTCTGACATTTCATGGTTGAACAAAGATATAACTTAAGCCAACTTCAGTGTATGCATGACCAGATTGTTAAAAACATGTATCTAAATACGTTTTGCCAGTGCTATGGTAAAAAAAATGCCCAATCGGACATTTTGTACCTATCTCTTGAGACCTGGAATGTTGCTGAGTGCGGCGTTAAACAACTAACAAACACACATCATAGCATTCATTCACTCACCTGATGAAGGAGTAAGAATATACTCCAAAAAGTTGTGTTCCTCGTTATAAAGAGGTTGACATCCATAAATTCTCTACTTCGTACTTAAGTTGAAAAATTTATTTTCCTATTTTCCGAAGAAGTAAAGTCATAACAGTCTTACAGTACTTACCCTCATTACCGTCAATATTACATTCAGTATTACAGTATATTAGTCAATGGTAATCTTGACAGGATGTTGCAAAACTTACCAGACACCGTGAAGACTATTGTTAGCCACTCGCAACAATTTCATGGCGCAAAACTTTCCGGGATTACAGTATGTATAAATATCCTGGTAAATATACGACGTACAGTACAGGGCTGTTGTTGACAGATCTATCAGTGTATCATGCCTGATTAGTCACACATACATTTCAGTGTGATATCCGGCTGTGCTTTAACACTGAGAACTTGTGACAGTATATTGTCATGATACAATGGTATCAGCCTTGCATATAAAAATGCTTGCTTTTACCTCACATTGCTTTTCAACAGCAGAACAGGTCTACCCGGAACAAATAGAGGATGTGTTACAAGGCATTTATTTTCCTCATAAGGGTAGAATGTTTGTGATACCCGGGATGATCCGGGTTAGAATAGGTCTTCAGAAACCCATGCTTGTCTCCCCTGTGAAGATCCGGGGTAGAATAGGTCTTCAGCAACCCATGCTTGTCTCCTTCATGCAGATCTGGGTTAGAATTGGTCTTCAGCAACCCATGCTTGTCTCCCCCGTGAAGATCCGGGGTAGAATAGGTCTTCAGCAACCCATGCTTGTCCCCCCTGTCAAGATCCGGGGTAGAATAGGTCTCAGCAACCCATGCTTGTCATAAACGACGACTATGTTTTCTAAGAGTCAACTAACAGGATCGGGTGGTCAGTTTCACTGACTTGGTTGATGCATGTCATCATATCCCAATTGCATAGATCAATGCTCATTTCAATCACTGGATTGTCTGGTCCAGACTAGGAACTTATTTTAACCATGACATTACGATTTTAATGGCACACTAAAACAAGAAAGAAGTGAGCATACCCCCTTTATCCCCGCTGGTCAACAACAAACAGTAAATAGTTTGTTAATTAATGAAATATACCTGTTGCTTTAAGTCAGAGGAACTGCCCTTTCCTTTGTAACCCCATTATGTTTGAAATGAACACATGTTTTTGCAAATATATTTTAATCTAGTGTGGGATAATCAATGCTTAGCACAACATACATTCTTGATGTTTCTTAATGTTTCTATGGAAACGGCAAAAATATAAAAATTCAGAATCTTCAAACTAGCAAAAGGCACAAGTACTCATTGTGGTGAATGTGTCTAGCAAGTTTGGTGAAGCTAGGGTGCATGGTTAAAAAGATAAGGGCCGTACAAAACACCCACCCTAAAAGTTTAAGTTTCTAATGTTTCCATGGAAACGGCAAAAATATAAAAATTCAGAATCTTCAAACTAGCAAAAGGCACAAGTACTCATTGTGGTGAATGTGTCTAGCAAGTTTGGTGAAGCTAGGGTGCATGGTTAAAAAGATAAGGGCCGTACAAAACACCCACCCTAAAAGTTTAAGTTTCTAATGTTTCCATGGAAACGGCAAAAATATAAATATTCAGAATCTTCAAACTAGCAAAAGGCACAAGTACTCATTATGGTTAATGTGTGTAGAAAGTTTGGTGAAGCTAGGGTGCATAGTTAAAAAGATATAGGCCGTACAAAACACCCACCCTAAAAGTTTAAGTTTCTAATGTTTCCATGGAAACGGCAAAAATATAAATATTCAGAATCTTCAAACTAGCAAAAGGCACAAGTACTCATTGTGGTGAATGTGTCTAGCAAGTTTGGTGAAGCTAGGGTGCATGGTTAAAAAGATAAGGGCCGTACAAAACACCCACCCTAAAAGTTTAAGTTTCTAATGTTTCCATGGAAACAGCAAAAATATAAAAATTC